TTAAACTTACGATTTGCCCATTCCTACTCTTCAACATATAACACATTCCAATTTGATGGTGCCTGTAATTTCACAATTTTTCACACCTTGCAGTAAGTGTGTGTGTGTGTGTGTGTGTGTGTGTGTGAGAGAGAGAGAGAGAGAGAGAGAGAGAGAGAGAGAGAGAGAGAGAGAGAGAGAGAGAGAGAGGGGGAGAGACACACAGAAGAAGAACAGACAGAATATGATTGATTCATTGCTGCTAGGTAAAAGGAGACGATAGAGTCTAAATGGATTACTATGCTGTAAGCATGCTTCACCATTGTGACATTAGCAAACAGACAGACCAGTTTTGACATGTAGTGTACTTTCAAAAAATGAAGTTGATTCAATGTTCATGTTTAATTACTGTGTTGCAAATCAAGAATGAATTTCGTTAGATTGTATTTAAAAGATAAAATCGGTGTAGTGTGGGAAACCAAGAGACATTCATGTAGCAAAAATTTCACATAATTTAAAACTTATGACCTACTAAAAGATGACAATTTATGAAAAGCCTTCGGGGAGAGGGTTCATTGAGATTGGAAGGGGGAGTGATAGAGAGGAAGCATAAAAATTGGCTCGAGATGGAAGAACATGGGAGAAAGGGGGGGAAGTGGAGAATGAACAATTGGGAGTGAACAATCGCGGGTGGGGGTGAAAAGAATGGGGCGCAGCAGGGAAGGAAGGATAGGGGGCGGGGTGATAAGGGGTGATAAGAGGATAGAAGTTGATGGATGGGGACGATTTGTAGCGGGCAGAGCGCGCCGGGCAGAGAGCAGACCGCAGTGCTGAGCGGAGCACGAGCGCGCCGGCTGGAGAAGTGGTTCACACACCCAGAGTACTGCAATCATCGCCATCGTATAAGGTTCACCTGAGGGACAATCTTAAAATACGGTTCCAAAATCAACTATAATAAGTTATCAGAATCATAGTTTAGTTCTCACAGGAGCTAGTAGTTTAATGTGGCCTCAGGCCTCAGCCACTGTCCCTGAAGTTACCGTACGATAGCTAGCTGCTACAGCTTTCTGGGCGCAGCGTGCTCAAATGAGCGCGGGTGGGGGGAGTATACCTCTCCCCCGCGTTGGGCAAAGGGGGCAGGAGGGGTGCGGTCAGTCAGTCGTGTTGTGTGCACTCCAGCTCAGGCAGGCTAGGGCTGGCCCAGGAGCGGGGGGCACGGAGTGGCAATCAGCCCAGACCCGACGCACCCTCCGAGCGGCGCGCCTCGCACAGCCACAGACTCTCGCTCTCATTACACTTTGTACCACTCTAAACCGCAGCGCGCTGCGCGCCAGCGACTCTCGCGGAGCCC